GGGTTCTTGAACTCTGGACCAAGCTATGGGGCCATCCGGCAGGGCTGGAAGCCTGTGTTTCTGGCATTGACTGATTTAACCATGATCTAGGAGCAGCCACTCTGGGTGTGTCCCTCTGAGTGTCTCTGAGCTTTTGTGTGATGTCTCAAGTGTCTGGGAGCTTTCGTGTTAGACAGCTGGGCATGTGCATGGGGTTGATGAAAGAAGGAACCAGAGGCAAATGTTCAGAAGATGAAATACTACAGAATCAGACCATACAAGTTATGGCTGAATGCATCATCTCAAAGCTTCCAAATTACCCCATGTTCTCTCTGAGTCATAGGCACAAATAATAATGACGATAAAAATTATTTTTTAAAAAATGCTATAATGCAGGCCCTCCCTGGTGGCGCAGCAGGTTAAAGCACAGCACTGAGAAGCTAAAGCCACTTCCGCATGAGTTCGATTCCCGCCTGCTCCGGAGGTGACCACATGGCGTGGCAGACCTCTCCTGAATCTGCCCGCTGCTCCCCTCAGCAGTGTATTTCATAGATCTGCCTGTTCTGCTCCCCACTCTGTCTCTGGTGAAGCCTCTCGCCGCCCCTGAGCCTCTGGACTGTACCCCAGTTCTGTATGAACAAATAAATAAAATCTTTAAAAAAATAATTGCTATAATGCAGTTGTACCAAGTTGTATCAATTGCGTAGAAAACCAGGGTTAACTGCTTAGAGGATAAGATGCGTTGGCCAGAACAAAAGCAACAAAATAAAATTGATCTTTTCCAGATTGTTTCAGGACAGCAGAGCCAGGGACAACGGGCAGAAGTTATAGGAAGCCAATATTGCTGGATTTAAGACTAAATCTACTAGCAATACTAGTAAGTGTTGCTGTCCAGCAAAAGGGGGTACATTCTAAGGTATGGAACGCCCTCACTGGACATGTTAAGGAAATGTAAAATGGCCATCCATCTGCCTGTGGCGGGGTGAAAATAAGATGCTTGCACAGAGAAGGAGAATGGCACGTTGCTATCCAAGATCCCGTTCAAGCTGGAAACTCAATGAACCAAATGCTGGATGGCACAAAACAAATTTCTCCTTGTGCTCTTCGGGGAGGCCATTTCCCAGCTATGCCCCCTCAAACTCTGAGCTGTCTACAGAAGCATTTTGCTTCATCTATGAACTTTTCTAGGCCTCTGGCTGCTTTCTCCGCATTGGTGTCAGTGAGTCCAGCATGAACGGGAGCCACCAGGACCAGCCAAGAGGGCCCCCGCCCTCCGCCCCCGGGCTCTCTCTGCAGCCCCCTCACTAGTACTGGAGTCTGGGCGGTCCCCTGGGAATGGGATGGACCAGCGCTGGGGTCGGGAAGGAGTCGGGAAGGAAACGGGACAAATTGGGAAAACCGCAGGGAATCTTTTCAGCGGTGTAGAAGGATGTCTTTCCCTTCCTCAGAGAGCTGCCCCTGCCTCCTGGAGGAAGCCAGTCTCTGTTCTGGGATGTGACCTGTTCTGGGGCTGGTCCTCGATGGCCTGCTGCCAGCCCCGGGACAGCTTGGTGGCCACAAAGAATGCAAAATCTGGGAGGCCTCTGAGCAGGAGGCCAGACTGGATGCCCTGTGCCCTCCAGACAGTTCTCCGCCCCCGCCCCACTCCTCAGAGTCTGGGGTGGAGACCATCAGCAAATGAGGGGGGCAGGCAGGCGGCAGAGGAAACTATAACCTTCACAGCCCAGTCTCCTCAAAGAGGACCAGCTGGAATCCTGAGTAGCTTCCCAGTTCGGGAACTCTCCCACTCCTTGGAGGACAAGGGAAAAGCAGGAAGGAATCAGAGCAGCATTTCAAATTGCCCTCAAAGCCACCAGATAACAACCGGTATATCTCCTCATATATAAAACCACCGCGTAATGTGAGATGCTACACGAACAACACAAATCCTGAGGGCCCCAGAAGTGTGAGAATTTTCAGTTTACTGGCTGGTTAAATTGTGCTTATTAGTTTTCACTTGCACAGAACTATAAGAAGATTTGTACCAGCTCCACAGAATACCACTGCCATCAACTTAATAATGGCTTCCCTAATCCACATGCATGTAATCTTGAAACAATAAACATTTTAAGCAAAGGTAGGAGTTCCTTACATCTTGAAAAGGTGCCTTTGCATTTACTTAATCATCCCCTTGAGGGCAGTTTTACTGGGAGCATTGCCCATACAGAGTACACAAGCTGATTGCATTTAAATCTCTTCCAACAGCATTTCTGAAGGAAAAGCCGAATTTCACCAGACAAGTTGAATCCTGTCGTTTTCCTCATCTTGTTTTGTGAGGGGAAAAATACACACTATCTCTGTTGAAATGGGCCACACCTCAACCAAAATGCTAACCTGAAAACAAAGCAAATCGAGATCAAGCTTCTTCCCTTCTCCAAATGCCCTTCATCATTATTCCCCAAATCCTCCCTATTTGTTCAACCACAGTTTAGAAAACAGAAAACGCCTGTTTTAAAACAATCCCCATTTTCCATGTAGAAATGATCCCCCTTTCCTCCACACCCACATTAAATATATATCTGCATCATCGTGATAGACCAACTTTTCACTCAGCACTAAAATTCAGCTGTGCCTGGGGAGGAAGCACAGCGGCATTTTCTAGAGGAGCAGATGAAGTACCCCTGCCCCATCCCCTCCTGGAAACCCACTTTCCCTCCTGCAGGAGCAGACATTTACCAGTGAACCCCTCCCAAGTTTCATTTGCAGCCTGCTCCCCACCCCGTCCCTGTCCCTCACTTTCTCCCTGTCTCTCTCTCTCTCTCTAACGGTTTTCTTTAAACAAACCCACCCCCTCCTCCCATATCATAGGGGGAAAAATCACTTAAACAGAAGTGAATGAACACGCAATCAACAGCCAATGGTAAAAATAGACCCCAAAGCGGGTATCTCTCCACCACCACCCCCAGCAAAGACCAGCAAACAATCAACAAGCAGAGTCAGTTCCTTTCCCTCAGCCCTCTGAATCCAAACGGAGGAATCGAAAACATCTGTGAGAGCCGTGTGTCACTTCAGAGGTATGTAGCGTTTCTTCTATAAAGAATATCCTTTCTTCGGTCATTTCCAAAGTCCAGCACGGCTCACACATTCAGAACAAGAACTGAGTTACTGCAGGGCAGAGCGACTGCCCAGACGTCCTGCAGATGCCCCTGGCGCCCACTGCAGCCCCACGCAAGGGCATTTTTCTAAACCTTTTGGGAAAAGTTGTCTCAATTTCTACTCTTGGCCAAAGTTTCCAGGACACTGTTCTTGAAAAATCACAAAGGAGAAAAAGCAAAAAGAAAACTTAGGCGATGTTAGAAGAAGGAGAAGTGGTGGGCAGGAAAGAAAGTTCTGCGAGCTGCCCCACCGGCTAGCTGACCTACCTGAGGGTCCCGGCGACTGTGTGGCAGGAGCTGGTGCTGCTCTGGGCTCTTGTGGAGGTATGTGACTGCAGTGAGGGGAAGGACCTGCCTCCTGAGGTTATAAGTTTCCTGAGCTGGTGTGCCGGGGTGTGGGATGGGCGGATTCTTTGCACTGTGTTTTAAAGGAGTTTCTATGAATCAGTCTGGCTTTAAAAAAAAAAAAAAAAACTCTTGGCTCTTGGTAAGCTACGCCCTGCTGGCCTGGCAGTCAGTCAAGAGGGCCAGGAGTGAGCCATCAATTCAAAGAAGCCTGTTGTAGGCTCCCTCTGACTCAGACCACAGTGGAAAAAGGAGTGACACTGCTTCCAGTGAGTAATAAGAGTCACACAAATAGATCTGTTTACCTAAGCCCATTCCTCCTCACCATAAGGCGCCCTGGTTACCATGGACACGAGGCCAAAGTTATCTGCCTCAACGCTCATCTGCAGGGGGAGACCAGGAGGAAAAGGGGCAGAGCCCGGTCTTGGAAACCTAACTAATCCTCCATCTGAGGAGATTCCTATCTTCCACCCCTGCTCCCCAAAATGCATCAGCTCACTGTCAGGAATTATCAGATTTGTTTCCTCACACTTCCCTGTGTGACCCTGGTGCACGGCCCTACAGTGGCCGTCAGATTAGGTGCTGGAAGTAGAAGTGGACACACCGAGACCTTCTGGCAACCTGCCTCAGAGCCATAGGGCATGAATCAGCCCCTGGTCTTTGCACTCATGTGATCCCCACACCCCCCGGGAGGAAGTCCTCTGAGTCAGAACTTTGCACTTCTGGTCCCCATGCCATGTTCACTCGGACCTTGGCCACATGGAGTTTCTTGTGCTGAGCTGAAGCCATAATCACCACGGCCACCTCCCTGCCCCGTTTCTCCCTTCCTCTGCACTGTACTGCACAGGAGCCAGCCAGGAGGACCCAGGGGCCCCCAAAGCCCCAGCCTGCCAAGGCTTTCCCCCAGACAGAACCCAGCTGCCTGAGATCAGGTCCAGTGATCCACTCATGGTGTGACTTTCAGCAAATCAACCTCTCCGTAGCTCAGTTTCCTAGCGCACAGCGTGGGGACAGAAGGAACCAGGCTCAGAGAACTATGGTGAGAACTACACTGGGCTCACAACACTGCCTGGCAGGCAGGAAGCCTCCCTCAGTGTTAACTAGGATGAGTATCTCACTGAAAAAGAGACTGAGGCCCAGACAGGTGAAGGGACAGGTCTGAGGGGAGACAGAACGTTGGCAGAGACCTCTGGGATCCAAGCCAGCCCGTCCCCACAGCTCTCTCACTGCATACTTTGCCGCACCACAAGCCAGTTCTGCTCCCGTCTGACTTCTAGTGAGTTATCTCCTTCTTCCACCAACCAGTCTACGTGTCTCATGGGCTTGGCACTGTCCAGACCACTGGGTCCCCGAAGTGAGTGGATTCCTGGGTTCTTGGAACTTGGTCCCAAAAAACGATGATCAAATTAGGTGGTAAAAATAAGTGAATTGTAGCTTCTTCTGGCCTCATTTATTTTCCAAATCTTCTGCAATAGAACCTGCCTTCTTTTGGTTTGCGGGGGGCAAAGTGCTCTTATAAAGGAAAATATTTTCTGAACACACACGAGCTTGCACGGGCACACACGTGCACATGCACACCAGCTGATAAGCTGCTGCTGTGTTGTCACAAAGTCCCTGGGAATGGATTTCTGTCCCTGGAAGGGCATTTTCCATTAAAAAGTTGATGATGTGGCCCTCCCTGGTGGCACAACAGGTTAGGCTGCAGCACTGCAAGCTAGCTGCAGCTGCTTCAGTGCGAGTTCGATCCCCAGCCCCGGAGGTGACCCACCCGGTGCGGCAGACCTCTTCTGACCCACCCACTGCTCCCTTCAGCCTATTTTGCTCCCCACTCTGTCTCTGAGGAATCCTTTCACTGCCCCTGCACTTCTGGCCTGTCTTTATGTCTAAATAAATAAATCTTTAAAAAAAAAAAAAGTTGATGAGGTGACCACAGATTGCATCAGTCTCCTGTCTTTCTTCACCTCCCATCACTTCACGCATCTGTTTGACAGGAACTACTCCCCACAATGGGCTAAAGTCCCTGACAGTTAAGCAGCATGTCCTCATGGAGAGAGACCCAGGCCCAGACCCTCTAAGCTGTGAGGTGGAAAGGCCTAGCACAGCCCCCTTTCCACCCCTCTTGCTATTTCCACTGAGAGCATTCCTCTCCCTTCTCCCACCTCCCCCAGGGGCCAGTAGAGGAGGCCTGGGCTCCGAGGGGGAGTCCCAGGATGCTAAGCAGTATGTGGTCTGGCCACATTTTTTAAAGAGCAGGGAGGGGAAGCATTCTCCCCCGTGGCCCCACTGGGGTGAAGGGCGGAAAGAAGCAGAAGCAACTCGTAAGGAGCTAGTGTAGAGTGAGGGCCGCTGGTCTGGATTCCCACCCGGACCACAGGGGCGAGGCAGAGCGGTTCTTGTCTCCCTGCCCACAGCCTGGTGTGGGTGAGCCACGATATGCCTGGCCTCCTGCACCTCAGCCTCCACACTGGCCCTAGTAAATCCTACCTCCCTCTGTATTCCTGGAGATGCTCAAAGTTTGCAGAAAAAATGTTAAATGCGTTAAGCTATTGAAACACCCGCGCCCACCCAGAGGGGTGCCCCAGAAAGCTAAGTTGTGCAAATATTTTTAAAAGATAAATGCCACTCCAGGATTCCTAAAGCTGTGTCATTAACCCATGCAATGTCCCTGGGCTCAATTTATAAAACAGAGTTATCAAGTCTGGGAAAGAAATTGGATCTGTTCTGGCTGATGTTTCCTCTCGCCGCGTCTCTGTGTGGAAGTGAAATACTAAGCCTGATTCGTTCCCTGGCTGGGAGCTGGACCACATTAGCACTTAGCATAGTAGTGGGTCCAGAAAACTAAAACCCCCCAAGGCTGCGGAACTCAGTCCTGTGGGCAGCTACCATCTCTCCCAGCATTTCGGGGTGACCTGTCTTTCTGCTCTGAGCTCCCATTTCCCTCACTTGGCAGGTAAATTAGACACTCACTTTCCACATGGGTAAAGAACTGGGCACAGTTTTATTGAGCCTCAACGAAGGAATCAGTTATTGTTGGGCAGGAATGCCCTTTCTTGCCCAGGATCAGTGTTAATCTCAGACACAGACTAGTTTCCCTCCTTCCAAAGCAAGGAGAATCAACTTCTGGCATCATGCCACTGGGGGCTGATTTTCAGGTTTGAACTGGCGTAAACACTGTTAATGAATGTGTGAATCAAGGTCTTTTAATGATGAGATACAAAGAGAAATCTCTGAAAGTGGATCTGCTCTCCTAGTCACTCCACAGCCCCCGAATAATAGCTGACAGCCGACACATTCCCCAAAGCTGTGACAGGTGCAGGAGACACTGGTGTTAGTGCTAGCTAGTGTTGCTTGGAAGGTGGAGAGGGTCGAGTTGTTTAGTATCTTCCAAAGTCAAACGAACGTTTGTTCCTTTGCACTCCTGTTTGAGAGAACTCATTCCCTACCTTCCTGTCATCTCATTTTACTGTGCTCTTGTCTTTTTTTTTTTTTTTAAGATTTATTTATTTATGCATACAGAACTGGGGTACAAGCCAAAGGTATGGGGCCATGAGAGGATTCATTCACCAGAGACAGAGTAGGGAGCAGAACAGGCAAATCGACGAAGTACACTGCTGAGGGGAGCAGCAGGCAAGTCAGGAGAGGTCTGCCAGGCCATGTAGGTCACCTCCGGGGCCCTGGATTGAACTTGCGCTGAAGCGGCTGCGGCTGGCTTGCAGTGCTGAGCTTTAACCCTCTGCGCCACCAGGGAGGGCCCTGTGCTCTTGTCTTGACTTCTGCCTCAGGCTGTTTTCTTCCAGCATTTATTGTTTCCTTTCTGGAACTTCTCTTCAGGAGATGTAATTTTAGCACTGTTTTGCAAAATAAGAAGTCGTTAGAATCCCCTCAGGCGCCCCCTTGCTTGTCTTCTAACAAGCTGGTCATGCAACTGCTTTGGGAAGGTGACAGAAGGATACTCCTAGGATGTTCCAAGAACAAAGTGTGTAGCCCACACGCCCAGCTCAGTGAAAGGTCTCCCATGCCATGCGGTGGCTGGTGGCTGGCGGCTGTAGGAGAGGACCGGCTACGCTGACAGTGACATCGGAGCTTGGCAGAAGAGAGCCAGCCTTGCACCATGACCAACTTGATACTGCTGTTGTTTTTGGAGTTTGTGCGGAGACCTTGGGTTCACTCTGGGAAAGGTTTCACCAGAGCTTCCCTTGTAGCGGCACGTGGCGAGTTTCTCCACATGACACTCAGTTATATTTTAAAGAGCAGGTTTATTAGGGAAAAGGACAGGAGTACTGGACACTTGCATAGGCACAAGTGGACAGGGAGAGACACCCCAGAAGGGGTAGGTTTGCAGAGAGAGGCCTGCATGGTTGCACCAGGCAGCCTTAGGAGAGCAGCCTCTGCAGATGGAGGTCAGTGCAGAGAAGTTCTGGCATGGTACAGATCACAGGCAGGCAGGAGGCTGCTGCCCAGCAGAGGGAGCGAGTGGGTGAAAGAAGCACCTGCATAGGCACAGGTGGGCAGAGGACGGCTGCCCTGTGCTGGTGCAGAGACTGCCCTGATACAGACATCTTCTCTCTGGGAGGGGCCCACTCCTTGTGAGCCTGGGTTTGTTGATTCTGAATAGAATCTGACAGGAACAGGAGATCCCACAATGGGCTTCATCTCCAGATCTGTATCTTTCACCTTTTGGGTCGTGTAGACACTGCCCTCAGCAGTCTGCGACCAGCTTGATCTTCAAACTGTAATCTAGGCATTGGCACCTGAGGATCTTAATTTCAATGGCTGTGTCAATAGTTGTAATTATCCCTTCTGCCCCAGACTGCTAGTGTATGTCAGTCTTGTGATGCCTTCTTACTATTACTTCCTCTGTCAGGACTGTTGTCATCTACTTCTTCAGCCGTCTGGAGTATGTGTGGATGGCTGAAATGAAAGAACAGGTGTCCTGAGCTGTGTCTGCTTGGCTACAGCTTCATGACAGGAAGTAACAAGCAAACACATAAGCAGCTGTGACCTGAGTAAAAGGTCCTCTCTTTCTTTGACTAATGTTCACTGGAACTGTTGTTAGAAGACAGATCTTAA